ATAACAGTAGCAAAATTACAGTTATAGAGTAGCAACGAAAATAATTTTATGGTTGGGGGTCACCACAACATGAGGAACTGTATTAAGGGGTCGCATGGCATTAGAAAGGTTGAGAACCGCTGGTATAGCTATATGCATACAGTGGAATATTACTTAACAATAAAAAATGAAATCTTGCCATTTGCAGCAACATGGATGGACTTAGAGGGTATTATGCTAAGTGAAATATGTCAGCAGTGAAAGACAAATGCCGTATGATGTCACTTATGTGTGGACTCTGAAAAATAAATAAATAAATAAATAAATAAATAAATAAATAAATAAGCAAAACAAAACCTGAAGAGACTCCAAGAAACAAAGTACTGGATACCAGAGGGAGGAAATGTTGCTTAAATAGGTGAAGGGGATTAAGAGGTACAAACTTCTAGTTATAAAATAACATATCATGGGGGTATACTGTAGAGCACAGGGGATAATATTGTAATAACTTTGTATGGTGACACATGGTAACTAGACTTCCTGTGGGGATCATTTTGTAATGTATATAAATATAAAATCACTCTGATATACACCTTAAACTAATAGGATATTGTATGTAAATTATGCATCAATAGAAAACAAAACACACAAAAAACCTACAATGTGTTATCATTACAAAGTAATCAGATCAGCTTTTGGTGAGGATGGAGGGCAATAGAAACTCTCATACATGGTTGTAGGAGTATATGGCAATTCATACAACCATTTGGAAAGTTGGCATTATTGATTAAAATTGAACATACACATATCTTATGTTCCAAGAATTCCATTTTTAGCTACATACTTAACAGAAATGTGCATGAATGCTTACTCAAAGAAATTTATAAGAATGCTCAGAGTAGCATTAATTTTAACAACCTCAAGTGGAAATAAACCCCAAATATCTATCCTAACTGGAATAGAAAAAAAATTGTGACCTATTTCGTGCACTGTAATAATATACCGAAATGAAAAAAAACAACAATCAAAACTATTGCTACATGAATCTCAAAATATAACAGTGAGAAAAAAAACAGGCACAAAAAAATATGTACTAATCCATTTACATAAAGTTCAAAGATGAACAAAGCTTATTATACATGGTTAAAAGTCAGGAGAGGTGGTACCTTTGGAGGGGAGGTAACAGGAAGTAATGGGAGAAGGCACAATTGAGGAGTCTCAATTTTATGTTATAAATGTTCCAGAAGTTTCTTAATGTAGGTATGATGGTTTTAAGGGTTCAAAATAATTCATTAAGCTACTTATTTATGATTTGTGCTGTTGCATTTCTTTAATATATTTTCCACAATTCCTGTCCTCACATCTCTTTTACACAATTTTGAAGTTCTTACTTCAATATCTACTCTTGTTGACTTTCATTTTTTCATCCCAACATAATTTTTGTTTCCTATCACACTTCATTTCTGAAATCTTTCCTCTTTTTTGAATCTTACTTAGCCATTCCTAACAGCATTTTCTTTCCTAGAATTTCCTACGTCTTTCTTGCTTGACACCTTTAATATTCTCTCTGCCTGTCATTCAGCTTTATCCTCATAGACCACCCAAGAGAGCTATGCAAGCCTACATTTTAAAGACGTTCTCTCAACCTCCATTGAGAATGGGGGGGATTGCCTAGCAAGAGTATGAATGTTTGCTAGAATAATTTTATAATAGATATAAGTAAGTCTCCTGTATCACCATTTAACTCCCATGGTATCCATCACTTCTTTGTGGTTAAATTGAGATGGAATTGATCATTTCTACCTTCCTTTATTTGACTGAAAGCTCCAAGAGAATTTCACTTAGTAGGCAACTATTCTATTTTTTAAGTAAAAGAAAGCATGCAAAATGATGAGAATCATTTTAGCAACCAAAGTAGTTACGAACAAGAATTACATGTAACACTTAAATAAACAAATGTATTTTGCTTTTTAATGGGAAATAAAAGAAAATGTATATCTGAGCCACTTTCCATAACTGCATATTTGTTGAGCACAGTAGATGGGGGAGGTAACTATCACTTAGCAGCAGGATGTGTGCTATCCAATAGGTATTTTATACTCTTTAATCTCTACACTGAATTTATGAACTGGGTCTTGTTATCCCAAAACAACACTTTTAACAACAGAGACTCAGAAAAATTAAGCAGCTTGCTCAAGATCATATAACAACTAACTGACATAGTCAAGATTTGAACCTCAGAATGTGTGATTGATTCCAAAATCCATGGTCTTTCTTTATCTTCCTGCCTAATTTCTATGAAGGTTAGTGAGATGTGCATGTATACTGAGGGATTCAGGGACTGCCGATTACTTGCATAAGATTCTAAAATATGATTTTTTATTGGCTTCTGTTTATTTTGGTGCCTAACATTTAATAACTAAATTAAGAAGACATTATCTTTATGTCTTTTGTAATGCACCACTTTCACAGTTATCCATCAAACCAGTTGAAAGTCATGGCTAGAAATTCCTAGACTGCTGATAACAGTGCTAAATTTCTTTTCATTAGTTCCATTCATTAGCTTCAATAACTGAATATATTAACTAGAACTCACACATATATTAATCCCATAACTTATTAATGTTCAGAACAAAATTTGATTGTCACCTTTTTAAATACCTGACTTGATTAATGAATCAAATAGAACGGTTATTTAAAGTTTTTCAATACTTAGTGTACTGTTGAATGCTGTTCCTCTCTAACTTCTTTTTTTAAGGCAAAAAAATATTAAAATCACTTTCTTTTTACAAACACTTATATATAAAGAGACTCAATTTTAAAATGATAAACAATTTATATGTGATTTAGTAATACATAAGGAATCATTTTCATTACAGGCATTACAATAATTTCTTAAGATTCTTAGGGAAAAAAATGATTTCCTTAAAGTAAACTGTAAACCTCAATCTACAGGTAAACTTTTGTTCTGCATCTCTCCTACTTTAGGTACCTAGAGTTAAGTGAGAATTGAATTATATTTAGAATGAGTTATAGTATGACAAAGTTCTAGTTTGAGTTTCTGACAGTCCTAGCATGTAGTTATGCTCTTAAATATTCTGTGTGCATCCTGCTGAATGAGCAACTCAGTACCAATGACATCACCTGTAGGAAGCTCACCTGTTCTGCTAATTAGAAGTAAACATTGAGACAGCGGATGCTAGTAAGCAGGTAAGAATACAGAAGTGGCAAAATGAAGTTTAAAAAGAGATGCCTAAAGCAAAAAAGAGTATAGGTTTTTAAAATGTAAAGCTTACTCTTTTTTAACTCTTCCAATAATTTACACAGACACAAACAAAGGTATTACCCTAGACATGCAGATAGAATACTTCTTAGTAGGGTAAGTTTGGGGTGAGGCGGGAAGGAGCAAAAGACAACATACCTTTGCTTGTCCAGCTTTTGTGATGGCAGGTATATTAAAGAGCTGTCCAGTATAAAAATGTATCCCACAGAACAAGATCACTGCAATAGCGTCTCCTTCCTTCTCAATTACTTCAAGAATATCTTCTAGTCTCAAGGTTTCTTCCCCCTAAAATTATGTTTAACATAAGTTCCATCATATCCACCATAATAAATTGCTCACTTTATATTTCCCAATCTAAAATTCACCATGAGCTCTTTCCCACTATAAGTAGAATGAAAGGTAAATATTTTTCAGATTAATGATCATCAAAAATCTGTCAAGAGAGCAGCATTTTAGCATGCTTTCTATTATTTTTAAGTAGTGATAATAAAACAGTAGAGATTTATAAAATTAAGTTTTTGCAAAACCTTAATTGATTTATTCATCAGTTCTTTCATTAATCTTTCCTACTTGCTTACCTATAAATTGTTTCATCCTTATTCCCATTCAATAAAATACCACAAAGTACAAGAAGTTTATGAAATAGTAAACGGCAAAAGAAAAATCAATCTAATATGTTTTTTTGCAGAATAAAAACACTTATGCGTCTTTCATCTAAATATATCCTAACCAATATCGTCTGTTAACTTAAGAGTTAAATCTCCTCCACACCAATCCAAAGATCAAGACCCAAACATGAAGAAAAATACCACTAAAACTCTATTTTCAAGGTCATTTTTCTCTATTTCTCCCATCTAAGACTAATGATTGGTTAATTCATCAAAACTGTGAATGAATTTAGTTTTGGTCTTGCAAACAACTTGAGCAAAAAGAAATCAGTTAGTTGGGCCAGCCGAGAGGCGCATTGGTTAGAAGTTGGCTTGGGATGCCGTAAATTGCAGTGGGGCTGGCCGGTAGCAGGCGTGAGTTTTCGTGAGCTGCTGAGTGACCATCCAATGGCCAGAGACTGACTGCCTCAACCGGGAAGAGCGCAATGATAATACCAACATAGGCCAGTGAAGCAATGTCCTCAACAAATAGACTGAAGAACAAAAGGACAGTAACTTGTCTGCTCCCCTTCCCTGATTTCCCAATGCTGTTCCCCTCCCCCAATTACCCAATAAAATCTTTTTTTTAAAAAAAGAAATCAGTTAAATACATAGTATCTACATATAGCCTAAGAATTTTTATCTATTTATGAAAGCATGAAGTTTCTTCAGTGCTCAATCTGACATGATTTTGAGGTCAAAGCATCATCAACTGCATTAATATTTGGGGGAAGCTCATTAAGATATTCATAAGTTTTCCTTCTTAGTTTTTGGTAATTTTTGCTATTTGCCAATTACTGTGATCCATGTTAGGCATATATCTACATATCACAAATATAATACTCCAGTTACTACTAGAAGCCTGGAACTTGTTTACAAAATGAGAATCTATAAAAACAGTATTTGAAATCTTTTAATTATTAAGTGATGCATACTTTATATATAAAGAAAATATTTCACTAATTCTAAGAAAAATTTTAAGTAAAATTAGTAACATGGTAATTAAAAACTTTTTCCTAGAAGAATCTAATATTTGTCCATTATAACTTCAAAAAAAGAGAGTAGGGAAAGTTATATATATATATATATATATATATTTATATTTATAAATAAAAATATATATAAATATATTTATATTTATATTTATATATTTACTAATACTTAATTTATGTCTTTAAAGAATTAGTATTAGGCAAATAAGAAATATATTTCTTAAAGATAAAATACAGTTCTCTCTCGTGTTGACTTGCTCTAATCTATAATGCTAAAGAGTGCTCCCAAGATTATGATTAACTCATGCAGCTCAACAACACTTGTCACTTTTAACATTAAGACTTGTGATATACTAGTGGCTATATTTACTTTTGCTAGAAATTAGCAATTTATATATGACCTGTGAAAAGGATATCCTCTCACAGGTGTGAGAACTTTCTACTTCACTGGTTTATTGCATGTTGGTAAATAGAAGTGAATGAAGTAGATTTTAATTTTTCAAAGTATTCTGGGTTGAAAGAAATAATTGCTTAAACAATGACTTAATAGCCTGGGAGCATCATTTGTGAAACCTAAAATTTATTCTGTGTGGGTCTCATAGTGTGAAATTTCACAAGCTGCAGAGTTTATATGTCAAAGTTTGTACAACTTAGTCTATATCTCTATTCATATAAACTGGGCAGTATTTTAGACCTTGAACATACAAGTATGGTCAAGTTTGATTAGGTATTTTCACTGTTACCTGTTTAAATATGAAGGAATCTCAGAGCGGTAAAGTAACTTTCCCAAAGTCACTCACCCAGTAACTTGGTGGGTTTGGGATTTCTCTGGGCTATATCAACCAGGTATAAAGTCCAAGCTTTTTCTATTATACCACCTCCCTTTCTACACCATAGTCCAAGTTCAAAGGAAAACATCTGATACTTAGATTAAGAGGAGACATAAAAGATAAGCATCACTCAATTTCACCAAATATCACTAGTCTTTAATATGATTTTAATGGCAGCCACAGGAAATAGCATTAAAAGTTGAAAATGATACATGCATTTACGATCCCATCCTATCCCATTGAATAATATAGCAGACTCCAATGTGTTCACAGAAAAACAATTTGCTTATAATAATTCTAGCCCTTAAAATGAAAATACACTTCTGAGTTAATTTTCCATTTTAAGCAAAATGACCTAATAGTAACAGAAATATAGGTCTTTATACTTTCTTGAAAGTTCCATTAAAGTAATGAAGATAATAAACATTTGAGGAAAATGAAAGAAAAAATCAATACTAAATAGAAACATGATGAATATTTATTATTTATTTCTCTTTATCACATACCTCTCTTGGCTGTATAATCCGCATACTTTTTTCAATGTCAAGTCCATGAAGTTGAAGCTGTGATTCAATAGCATACTGGAAAAGAAAGTTGATTTATTAAATCAAGTCCAATGCACAGAAGTGCTTTGAAATATCTCCGAAAATAAATAATAAAACAACAAAATAACAATAAAAGTATATTATTATATGAAATCCAAGTTCAAGGTTAAAAGTGACTAAACACAATACATCAGAGAAGGCCTTTTTAACATAATTTACATACAGGAATCTAAACATTCCTTGAAACACTAAATATCAGAGATGAATGGAAACATAGGAGTCATCTAGATTTTAGGGAGTTACAAGAGATTTTTAGAATAAGGTATTAAAACATGCATATGAGTCAAAACCAGAGTTTACAAAATACCAAAGTGAATAGTGTGGATTTACTAGGCTTAAACATAGAATGTAGAAATGGCTCACCATAGAAAGAGTAAGCTAGAACAAGGAAAGAACATCAAAAAGCTCTCTTCATTGAGAGTATAAGATATGAATGAAAACAAGCAATTATAGGGACCCTGAATTTTTTTTTAAGATATTAGGTTTTGATCCTTTTTAGCAAAGTAATGACTATTAATTTGGATGTAATTAAGTGACTTAAAACTACAAAATGTGGGCTAGAATGGTTAACAGTGATAATATAAAGACAAAAATCAGGCTTCTCCAACACCAAAACTGAAATGTGTAATATAATTTTATCTGTTTCTGTGTCTGGAAGAATCAAATTTCTTACCACTGAATTGCTGATAAAGTAGCATGATTTTTTTAGTGAGCCACAAGAAATATTTTTAATCTCTAATAAATATTTTTTCAATAATAAAGCACCAATAATTAGCTAGCATGCTAATGGACAAGTAAAAGTTTATATTTCTATTCTATGTAGCTTAAAACGTTAAGCACTAGGGTATGTATTAATTCAATTTCATAAAATAGCAGCAAGAATTAACAACACACTTATAACTGTACTTGATGTAGACCAGCAGTTTGCTCAAGCTTATGTTTTAATTGAACAAAAGAAACAAAGCTATAATTTATTTTTTTAAATGACTAAATCAAAAGCATTTGGCAGATCTTTTTATTCTAAGGTTACTTGGGAAAGTCTAGTGAATAAACATTCAAGTCAGGCAGATGATATGATCCTCTAGGAAGAGCAGAAAGAATATAAATATAATTTGAAGAATCCTTACATGATCCGAAGGGAAGGCTTTGGCTTCTAGAAGAATTTTATACCGTTTTGGTGTAGGCTTAAAAAACGATAACTGTAATGAAATGGATTTATTGAGAAAAGCATTAATGCACAATTTATACATTTGTTTATTTTATACCACACTTGTTTATACCACACTTTCATCTTATAACCTCCAGCATTTTAAAAGCATTAATTAATTACATATCTAGATGTCTGTCAGCGATACCTCTTCCAATTAGCCTTGTTTTCAGTGTATTATGAAGAATTTCTCTATTGTGAGACTGAACTCTGATGTTCTATGTATATCTTATTAATGATGATTTATCTTGCACTGCCAATTTGGTTTCTAGTACACAGTATTTCCATGGCTTTATTATTTTATGGGATTTAATTTTATGTCCAACTAAAAGTACCTTAGCCCTAATATGAAATATTTGACATTTCCAGAAGCACCAGGGAAGCGGTTGCTCATTTGTTCAGTGGGACCCCTTTATTTCTTTCTCCCCTCAGCTCCTGGAAAATGAGGCTGACAATGATAAGAATGAAAATGATCACTATGATTAATTAAAGGTTGGTCATTGGCCTGGGTGCTAAAGCCATTTTCACATTTATTAGATTTCATATTTGTGCATACCTATAAGTAGGTATTTTTGTCCTCATTTTTACAGAAGAGAAAATTAAGATTTAGAAATGAAAAACATATATGTCCAAAGTCAACAGGCATTATTGAGTAAATCAGCTGGGAGTCAAATCCAGGGGTTTTTTAATTTAAAACTATGCTATTTATCATGACACTTTTTTTAACATGTTCCATAAGTATGTTCTTTAATTCATATTTAATAATCATTTCTCCATTTTACTAAAATAAAATATTAATATATTCATTGTGCATCTTAGCCATGTAGACATGTTTTTGATGAGGGTAAAAGGGATCATATATATGGGGATGGAACGAGAACTGACTCTGGGTGGTGAACATACAATATAATATGTAGATGATGTATTACAGAATTGTACATCTGAAACCTAAGTAACATTACTAACCATTGTCACCCCAATAAACTTTAATTTAAACACACACACACACAAAATTTGCTTAAAAATAAAATTTTTCAAAGCATCAAGCAATTAATCTAGTCACCATATTCCAAATCAAGACTATATTTGACATTTAAAGGTATATATAGAAGCACTTTAAGGTATATATAGAAGCACTTTAAACCAGTAAATCATTTAAGGTTATACTCGCAGGTTCGTTTTCTCCAATTTAGATTTATTTTCATTTATTTGAACATACTCCCTAAAAATGAATCTACGAAAACATACTGATCCATAAGCCTCTTGTAATATAGTCCAGCATAATGGAAAACTATCTTTCTGAAGAGCTCAGTATTTACTAACATTTGCACATCATTTCTTCATGTGCTAGAAAGTAGTTTTGCTTTTCACCCACTATGACTTTTATTCCTTATGTTCTGAGATAAGAGCTGTTCATTATTCTAAAGCTCTTTGCAAGAGTCAGCTCTCCCATGATTATGAAGACGCCATTCTATCATGGCCCAGCATTTCCTGGTAAAAATGAAAATAACCTCACAACTTATTTTTAAATGAGAAAACCACCAGATGCTAATGAATTAAAGATAGAAAAATGTCAGATTCTGTAAACTGAATATATACTAAACATTGATGGGAAAGGAAACTTACCAATAGAAGATGCAAATTAACAGTCAAAGCATTCATTAGGGCTATTTCTTTCTCATTGGCTCCTGCAAAATAAATGTGTCATAATTTAAATTGTTTACTATTAGTGCTAAAGATAGTTGGAAAAAACACTCCTTCATCCTTAATGTTTTTAGAGATAAGGGTATATTTGATGTGCCATCACAAAGAAATTGAAGGTTTCCCACGTGATTCATTTTTAGCAAATGATATCTTGACTTACATGCACATAACTAGCTAAAAATTATATTTTCTCTTTGATATAGCAAATAATAACAACAAAATAATGAAGCATTTGCTTTTTCCTGTAAACTAAAAATGATTTATCCTATTATTAGCTAGTTTGTCAAATTCCTACAGGGCACATTTTTTGTGGTAAGTGTATTTCCAAAAGAAATCTTAAAAGAAATGAAGGCCAATCATACTTTTAAAGCTGGTTGTTTCTAACATCAAATTAAAAAGCACCTTTAATAAAAGAAGCCTACTTTGCCAAACATAATTCACTCTTATTACAGTGAGATACGCAATAGTTTATGAGACAAAAGAGCTAGAAAATAAAAGACAAATAGCTAAATAGCTCTGAGTCTCATTCACACACACTGATTTAAGATAATTAATATAAGTATGTATTGTCTGATGGAGAAAATGTGCAAAAGTAAGATATCTATGACACAATTGTAATATGATCTAATCCCCATTACTGAGGATTTTGGTACTAGAAACAAACCCAGAGACAAAACATATATTGGATACTTAAGAATTCAGAGTATAGTAACAACAATAATAATACTTTTCCTATTTTTAGTTCTTACGGTGTCTCTTAAAGGAAATTAGACCTGTGTAGTAGGAATAATGTCTCTTTACCATCACTGAGCAAACTGGGCTATGAGCTTTAATGTTTGTAAGACTATATAGGTGTTAGAGAAAATGTATAAAACAAGTCCTACATTTTGTATTCAAAGAGATACTTCTGCTCTAGTCCCACTCATTTTAAAAGAATAGACAGTAAGTGGAATAATTAATCTAATTAATAGATAGATTCCAGCATAAGTTCACTTGAGGTGAGGCCACTAGAAAGAAGTGTACAACTTAGGAATTTAGATTTTAACATAGCCAATTTGGGAAGGACCCGTGTTTCCATCTAGTTAAAAAAACACACACACATAAAAAACAACCTTGTTGTATTGGGCAGATGGATTTCTGCATTAGATGTTCAAGGCTGGTAAACAAGAAGAGGGTATATCCATGGTCATTGTAAAGTGTATAGTGTCTGAAGTCAAGGGGTGAAAAGAACAATCTCAGTGCACGTCCCTAGCACTAAAATAAAATTTCTTTTAAACATACTAGATAAATATGAACACAATAAATTTATGTTGTATACAGTGGTAGATGTTTTCTCCTACAATAGGAAAAATATTTTTGAGATATGGTAAAATGAATGATACCAGCTTTATTATATCTCTTTCTTTGCATTCTGGTATATATTTTTACTAAATTTATAAAATAAATTTATTTCTAAAATAAAACATTATCTAAGATATATAATCTAATATTATTCTTGACTCTGCTAGTTATTTACATGCATCTTTTCTAAAAACCATTTATTTCAATTAAAAAATACTTTGGCAGGGAGAATGGAAGGAGAAACGGAAAGAAACAAAATAAAAAGAGCAGAATTACTAGAAAGGGAATCAGTTGAGAGAATGCACAGTAATGAAAACTAAAAAGAAAAGGTGCTATCAAAAAATGAAAATAAAGAAATAGAAGAATCAGTAAAGTGTAGGGGAAACTTTTTTTACAGAAGCTCAGACATGTTTGCTTAACAATTATAATCTAATTAAAATACTTACAGATTCCTGGAAGACTTTAGTCCTCCAAACAATACAGCATTTGTATGGGATCACCTAAAATGTTTCTTGCATGGGAACCTGAAGAACCAGATGTGTTGGGCTGAACTAATCTAGACATACACTTGGCATTGTGCTTTCCTCGCCTCACACTCAATGGCTTACTAACACCCAATCAATTCTTTGTAAATAATCCCTCATTGATTTGAGTAATCTTGAACAATTCATGGGCCCACATGCACACAAATAATTCTGCCTTGGAACACTTTAAATTAAATTCAACCATGTGCTTCACAAAATGCTCTCCTCTTCTGCTGCTGAACTTTATCAAGGACTGGTCAGTCTAATATGTGAACAGGCAAACAAATGCATATCTGAGTGTAGTGTTAATGCTGAAGTTTCAAAATATTAACTGAAATGTTTATTCCAAATATAACCTAAAGGCACTGAAGAATGAAGTGTTCTTATCAAGTGCCACAAATCTGACTGATTTTTAGTGTATTTTTAATAAAGAGTTTACCTGATAGACCTAACTCTTTTAGTTCAAATTGTATTTCTGAAACCAACACTGTTCTTCTAACGTGTCTCAACACCTTCAGAATTCCATACAAAAGTAAACCTTTTTTGAAAAAAGCAAACTGAAATTCTTTCATGTTGTTTTTCTTTGTTTCTCTTCTTTCGCCTAAAAGTTTTTCAAAATGAATGTTGCGACATTGAGAATCACAAGTGTTGGAGGGCACAAAGTTTTTAAAGCTTCCAGAAAGATTAATAAGCTTTGAAAGTCTTTACTTTGGAAGATCATCAACAACTCACTGCAGTAAATGTCAAGATTTGAGTCACTTCACCTGAGATGGGGGTGAGCCAGGACTCTCATTTCAAGAGTGATTTCCTGCTTGTTTATTTATTGAACATAATGTTTTGCTTTACCAGAAGGTAAAACTTGGTTAAATACAAACTGTGCCTGCTTGTCTCAATGCTTGGCAAGCTAAAGTTTATTGAGAAGTGCCAACACTTCTAAATATGTGACTCGTATTATCTCAGGTAGTCTTCACAGTAACCTAATAAAGTATCTAGTTCACTTTTTCATATTTTCTCAATGAGGAAATTGACATCCAAAGAGATTAATTAACTTAGCTAAAGTCTCACAGATAGAAAGTAGTAGGCAAAAACTTAACACTCTTGTAGAAAAAAAATGCAATTAACATCTTTTGTTCAAGATTATATTTGCAAGACTTGTCTATGTTATCTACTATGTTATTTAAATGCAGGAGGCCCATGTTCATCACCGACTTCCCTCTACATCTAATTATAATTTAATTACAAATCTATTGTAAAGTGAGGCTGACAGCTGCTTAGCATTTGATACCAGGGTTTATGAACTGTCATTCTATTTTCTGTATATTTTATTAAACAGATGTAAATGTTATTATGGATTTGGTTGTAAGGTTTGTGCTTAGGCAAAGTCTAAGAACTTTCCACTCTATTCTTCAAGTAGCAAATTCCTGTGACTTCTAAAGCGGCTACTGCATGGATGAGCATTCGAAACTCTTCGGAGAGAGCTTCCAGCGATTATTGCTTCCCTGAGGGTCAACCACAAATTTCATAAAGCAAATTTATGTTCACATTACAGCATTTTTATAAGCCAAAATGGTTGTATCTAGCCCTTTGTGATTTTTATGTACCCAGGGAGAAGAAGTAGGCTTGATAATAACACTAATAATATTCTTCAGCAATTCTATTTCTAGCATCATGATAATATGACATTAATTATAAGGAAAAGTTATCCTATGTTTTGCAGAACTGTTGGCTCTATATAAAATGTTTTTTCTTAATAGTTTTTCTTCTCATCTGAAATGGAAACTCTTTTCTACGTCTATGAATAAATATGGTTGCTCATTGTCTCTTCCTTCTCTCTGTTCATTCTATCAGGTTTTACACATAATAATTTTTATTATCCTCCTCTTACTTCTTTTTGAAATATTTTATGGCGAAATAAAGGCTTTGATTTTAAGAACTTGGAAGATTCAATCACAGCCCAAAATATATAAAGTGTCTATTTGCTTATGATGATACAGGCCAAACAAAGGAGCATTTTCACTGTAAAATCCTAAGTTTTCTTTTTCTTAAAAATTTGGCATTGTAGCCCTTTGTTGTCAAATCAGTTTGTTAATCATAAATAATAGATTTGTTTTTTTAACCTGAATCATGGGAAGCTCCTAACCCTACTCTAGATAATTACCCTAAGAGTTGTGATTTATACTTGTTGATTGTAATCACTGAAGCCTAATGTCCTTTCCTAACCCATTCCAGGCCTAGCTCCCGGGCAATCAACATCACGTGACTAACTGGTTAAATGGCCACAGGCTCCACAGAGCCGTCACGTAGCCACCTTACATCAACAGCTTTGAATTATGCTTTTAAACCTAACATTTTTAAGTTTATTAATTAAAATCTATATTTTTCTTCATTCAGGGGCTTTGGGGATACAAACAATACCTCAACAGGATCCAGCTCAGTCTTCCAGGTGGATTTCAAGACCCCTCTCCCTTCATCTAAGATCAGACAGGGCGAGAGTTTCGTGAGTCCCCCCTGATAGGCAGGGACAGCTCTACACCCCTGATCAGCAGGAAGCTGTTACAGAAGAAAAGACCTCCTGTCCCTCAACTTCCCATAGAAGTTTATGGGGATCACATCTCTCAAAGGAAAAAGCAAGGCAGGAAGTTAAATAGGCATGGGGTCTCTGCATTCCTACACGCCCAACATCACTCACAATACAACAGCCCAAAGGATCTCCCCTCTCCACCCAAAACTCCCCCTTCTCACTGTAATTATCTGCTTCTATGCGGAAACAAATGGGTACAAATACCCAACTAGCTTAAACCAGTCACTCACACCTGCGCAGTAAAGGCAACTACAACCTTCATTTCACTTGGGCCTCATTATACCATCATTGTCATATCATACATATGCCCAGAAGTTCATTAATATCATTATAACAGACTGAGTTCTGGGAAGGAACATGCGCAGTCTAAAAAGATAAGGTAATAGCCTCTTGTCAATCACAGGTGTCAATCAAGTGCTCCCACACCCAGAGAGGAATAAACAGCCCATTCTACAGAAAGAAGGGATAAAAACGTCAAGTCCTGGCCAGTCAGCATCTTTTGAGCTTCTTTTGCTTGGCCCTCTCCAAACTCTTTGGATTGTCGTTTCTCTTCTAATGGTCCTTGAGCTACTCTCTACTGCTTGGGTCTGCTCCTATTTCTTTGGAGTGTACTGTCTTTTCTAATAAACTGCTTTTTCACCATTTTACTTCTGTGTCTCATTCAATTCTTTGTTCGAGACGCCAAGAACCTGGACACCATCCTAAAAAGAGCCTGTTCTCTGGTAACAATGACACATTTAGCCTAGCAAGTAGCAAAAATAAATATGACTTTTGCTGCTCTTTACTGTAACTACCATAAAGCTTTTTAATTATTTTGTGATTTATACCACATTTACTTCCAAAGATGATTCCAGGTTTCTTGTAGAAGCTATTGGATATTTTTCTATTCAAACATGACCAAGTTTTCTCAGAATTTCCTAGTAAAGAAGGCAATAAGGGAACTTGCATGGGATTTGTAACAAACAAGATAAACACAAACACACACACAATGTCCTGAATCTGTTTCTACCAGAGGAAAAAGTGAACTCATTCATTTTGCAATTTGACTTAAGAATCATTGCTCTAACTAATATACACAGTTTTAAGGTAAAAAAATTGGGGGGAGGGGATAATAGTTACTAAAATTTAAAAGAAAATACCAAACTTAAAATATTGGTCTACAAGAAAGTAGAAATATTTTTGCTGATGAAACAAGAATTGTAGAGAACAAAACAAACACTTCACAAATAATTTTTTATAAATAAAGATTATTTTTATTCACTGACAATATTTCAACTGAAATATGGCAAAACACAGAAAATTAAAAGAAGTTTGTCCCATATGTGTTGTAACTGTGTATGGTATTTCAAAGACAAACAAAATCTCCTACAGCTAGAATTAAGTAGTATTCTTAAGTAAATTTAAATAAATTCAGTCTCTTTACCCTTTTAAACAAATCTGGATACTTTTATTATTTTCCATTTTCCTTACTAATGATAATGATAGGTGACTGGTTTGAAATTTCAGGGATCATTGTTATATATGTATATTTATTAGGCATCAAAACATGTGTACATTTAATAAGTAGCAATAGAGCTATAAACTTTTAAATGGTCAAAGGAAATCTTTTTGCAGGGTTTATTTGCTTCATAAATAAACTTCACTAAATAATATCACCTTACCACTTCCCTGGCCTGTGTAGAAACATCCAAACTCTTCTTTAGAGGATGATAAATACTAAGCACAACATAACAGGATTAGAATGGAATTTATGTTCTGAAAGCAAACGTAGTAAAGAAAAAGTAAGATCGAAAGCTAAGGAAAACATATATTCTCAGGTCAAATTATTCCAGGATTTTTTTTCAGTTTTTTTTTATCTACATGTTAGACATTTGAATGAACATAAGTGGCTTCTAAATATGAACATGAATGAAAGCATTATTAAACGACTATTTAACATACCTTTAAACACAATCCAGGATTGTTCAGGTGGTCATTTCTTCTGTTAGAATATACACTCCTCTAAATAATGCTGAGCCTGATAAGGGGTTGTGTTCCCTAGAACCTGAGTGGTCTGACAGGAAATGCTCAGTTTTTGCCTTTACCTGCCCTCGCTGACAAAAATTCTGGCTTTGAGCCCTGGGCTAAGGAGATTTGCCCTGGGCTTCAGGGGATGGTCCAGGACTCAGGCCTGTACACTCAGCCTGGCTCCGTCTGCTGCCCCCAAGAGCCTTTCTAGGCAGACTTTCAACTGTTCCTTTAATCAGCAATGGCTATATTTCTGGTATCTAGGGATTTCTATTTTATTTTTAATGTTACTATATGTTTATTAATTTAATTTTTCTATCATTTCTCTGTGTTTGGAAGATAAGGGAGAATTTTTAGTTTGTACTTACTTAATCTAGAAGTCAGTATTCTGATCCTATAATAAAAACCACATAAAACAGAAATGTGCACAGTGTAATGATTACTCAATAATAACGAGTAGGAAATAGAGCTTGCTTTTGCTTGCAACCCTGTTATGGGGTTTTTAATTTTTTTTTTGAGCTCACACTCTTGAGTGAGCTCTTAACCAACTGAGCCACTTGACCGGCCCTAAAATATTTTTAAACATTTGGAATAAGTAACATATTCATATGGTTCATAAACTAAAAACAGAATTTCCTTCAAAGTCTGGTTAATTTGGACTGCTTTAAACATGAGTGTGTTCTATTTTGTACACATGGTGGGGTGTGATCCTACTGGTCCATTGTACTGGGAAATCTTATGTCAGAATGTTTAAGTTGTCCATATATCACAGAGAAGACTTTTCCAGTCTCCTGCATGGTTACTGGGGGCTAAGTTACAACAGAAGTAGATAAACATTTATTTAATTATTTTGTTTTCAGCATGGAATGGAATATGTTATGGATGGATGGTGTATTCTCAAAATTCGTATGTTAAAAATCTAACCCCCTATATGACTGGATTTGAAAATAGGGCCTAAATGGGAGTAGTGAAGGTTGAATAAAATCATATGGGTGAGGACTTAATTTGATAGGACTGGTGTTCTTATAATAGAGAAAGACACCAGAGATCTCTTTCTCTCTAAGTGTCTACAAAGGAAAGGCCAAGCGAGGACACACATGGCAGCATCTACAAGCCAGGAAGAGAGGCCAAACCAGGAATCAACACTTGGTCTTGGACTTCTGGCCTCCATCCAGGAGTGGGGGAAAAGGAATTTCTGTTGTTTAAGCTGCCCTGTCTGTGGTATTTGTTATGGCAGTCTCAGCTATTCCATATCCTCCCCTGGGAACCTTCTCCCTTCTCCAGAGACTCACCCAGTTGTCGCCTGGAGGCGGGGTGGGGAGGAATCACATGACAGCACGGAGTAAACAAGGAGACCTGGCATTCTAACTACATGTTAAACAGACTTCCAACAGCAAATCTCTCTGTTTTCAGTCCTATCTTCACTTCCACTTCTAGAGGTGCTTATTGTGAGTAATTCCCAAGCTTTGGAACAATCTGCAGTGTGAACAGGTGGCTCTCCATTTTTTACCTACCATAGGGAGATTAGGATTTGGTTTGCTTTTTCTGTTTCAACAAGTCAGTTACCATTTGTCCACCTGCTCTCCAGCTCCCAAAATGTTGTTGCTGTCCTCTCCTTCACCATTCTCTCTCTCGTTGGGTTTACACAATTTTTTTCCTAATTCCATTAAGAGTTGTTTACTGACATTTTGGCAAAAAAGAGTACTCAAATGCATGTGTTCAGTCTTCCATCAGTAATTGGAAATTGCCTTTTTTGAAACACTAATACCAATGATTAACTTTATATTTTTTTATACTACTGATTATGTGTATATACTAAGTTTACATTTCTTTGTCTCTTCCATTTATGAGACTCCCATGAGGATAAGGAAGGGGAAGGTGTGTCAGGACCTACTACAACTCCTGACACACAACAGAGGTTCCATAATTATTTTGTGAATAAATGAGACATTCCTCAGATTTTCATGATTGCCAACAGACATAATTCTTTCTGGATGTAAGTTCTACTTTCCCCACTCTAATTCCATTTTCTCCCCAGCTCAAGTTGATTTTTTCTTTTGATTACTGGCCAAGATACAATTGGGATGGAACAATAAAGATATTTTTATACATGCCTATAAAGGAGTGAGGTTTGAAACAGCATTGTGAAAGTTGGGGTTTTCCTAAGTACTCCATATATTTTCAAATTACTCCACTCCAATTATTTAAATGTCTTTTTTTGTTGTTGTTCAATACCCTAAATTTCATGTAAGATTTCAGGCAATATAGAATATTCATTTGACCTAATTAAATAAATAACCCTTTTTTGAAATGTTAACACATTTACCATCTAAAAGTATCTTGAATATCAATAAAAGTACACATAACTCACTTTAGGAAACACATTATAGAGCCCAAAAGAGCATAAACTATATTATTTTCAATAACACTCACCCTAAATTTAAATAGATTACCATGGATTAAATTGAAATGAAACCAAAAAATGATTGGTGTTTTTCTTTCTTTCTTTATTAAATTAAATTAAAGTTTATTAGGGGTGACAATTGTTAGTAAAGTTACATAGGTTTCAGGTGTATAATTCTGTACTACATCATCACTATATCACATTGTGTGTTCTGGTTGGTGTTTTAGACCTTCAGCAAGTGATGGTTAGTGTTTATTTTACCATATAATAAAATCTCAGAGATTTCATTTAAATTGATTTTTATGAAATTTGTTTCATATAACAAATGAATACAATGCATGTGTTATTCATTGGGGAATAAATATTCATTTTAAAATGTACAAGAAAAAAATAAAAACATATTTTATTTTTGTGCCAAATAACACAGTTGTGTTCTCTACAGCAATCAAGTCTTAAGTAAAGGTATGCTTACTCTTTACTGTGATGTGTTAAAATAGAAAACTAGGATGTTTTTCAATAAGATTTTGACTTTATAATCAATGTTTATAGCTAAATGATAATCTCTTTACAATTGTTTTGGGAAAATATCACTTTGTACTTACCAACAATGTCATTCATGAGGCCTATAATAGTCTCATCTCCTGTAATCCAAGGACGTTTCCCTATTTCATGACCATAGACTCCCCTGAAATTGAAAAGAGACATAAACATTCTTAGCTTGTGTGGGGTGTGTATGTGTGCACACACACATGTGTGATTTTTCAAATACCATCATTAGCAACTGGACATTTCTAAATTAGTCTTTGTAATGTTTTAGTAATTATATAAAAGCATGCTTTCTAAAACCAAAAGTAATACTTGAGAACTCTATGTTATAACTTCTTATTTCCTTGTTGCTGGAGGTTAGGGAAGATTGTCCATAAACTATTTCATCATCATCATTATTATTATTATTACTTTATAATCTAAACTGTTATTTTTTCTTTTATTTTGAAAATTTCACCACTATTTGAATACTGTACTTATCTACCTGTAACATATGTAGTATTTATACTAAAACATATCTATTTTTAAAGCTAGAGATTAAAATTCTTATATACTCAATTTTAATACATAGTTACAATCTGTAAATTAAATAAAAGTGTATAAAATGTTAGCTATACTCATGATGACTTTCAAGTAGATAAAGAAACTTGGCAGTAATGAAAGCCACTACTACAACTTGACCTATTTTCTAGCAATTTCATCTATCATATTCCAGCTTAATTTCATTATTCCAATAAGTATCCTAGTAGGTATAATGGTAAAACACAAAGTACATAAGAGAACTTTAACTCTTAAAAACTTTCCATCAAATGAGGAAGGCAAATACATTTGAAAAATAGAGAAGAAATTAAAACAAAGGATCAGAGGGGGAGCTATTATAAACTTGTATCTTAGGAAGCTCTGAATTAGATTGTTCTTAATTCTTTAAAAATTCAGAAACTATGTAAACTTGGGAGAAAGGAATGAGCATATGTTTTTTGTGTAGTGCAAACTGTGAATCCATGCCCTGAAATTCAGTAAGCTGGCAGTGGTGAGCAGGTGAACCTGCTCTTAGAGGTAAAAGGTAGCAGAATACTTGTATGTCTCCCCAAAATATGTGTCTAGGGTATGTTGATTAACCTGAGCTGTAGGCACATGAAAAACATCAAATACAGGGAGAGGCTTTCTCTAAACTCTCCTATCTGCCTAAAAACATATCCTCTAGAAGAACCCAATTTTCATAAATCCCCTACTTATGAATTTCATCAACCAAGGACGATTGACTCATATCACAGAAGAGATTATAAGTCAACACCACACCCAGACAAACTTTGACACAAACTTCATGCCTCCTGTCTATTATTCACGGGTCCATTTATCTTTTCTGAAAATCATTTACTTTCTCTTCCCTAAGAGGCCTTCAGTAGCCCTTCCCTTTCCACATTAAGATGGTATTTAAGCCTGAATTTTAAACCACCTCAGGGAGTTACTCATTTTCCCCTGGGTCTCTCCCATGTATACATGAGGGATACATGTTAATAAACTTGTTTGTTTTTCTTTTGTTAGTCTGTCTTTTGTTACAAGAGTCTCAGCTAAGAACTCAGAAAGGTAGGGGGACA